AGAGGAAAAGTGCTACCAGCACTTTGAGTCTCAGAAGGGCTCAGACTCACTCAAGGATTCCAATTTATTATGCACCCAGCTCTGATATCCTGCTGCTCTCTTTATGGATTAGGCTGCCTTGGTGGAAGGTATCATCCTTCAGATGACACATAAATACTCTCTTGCCAGCTGTTCCTTTCCCAGAAGTTCCTCAACGAGTAAATCATAATGGTGCTCCTTGGTTTACTAGTTTCTGATATCGTTCTCGGTGTTATTCTAGGAACATGCAGAAAATGCAGCTGTATTACTGCTTTTACTTTACAGATGGCCCTGACTGCAGCTGTAGGGATTTTTAGGCCTATTAGTATTGGTTTCCAAGGTGAATACACTGGTAGTACTTCTAAATTAAGAGGAATGGTCATTTTGATGGTTGTTTTTGTAAAGCCTTTAATCTCAAGGTGCTTCTTACCTGAAACGTCAGAGGAGATGCAGGCAGATTGCTTTGCTCATTCTGACATGCAGCAACTGTTTAACAACATGTACCCTGGTTATGAGCTCAGAAAAAAACAGTGAAGGGTAACATCCTTCTGATGGGAATTAGATTCTTTAGAGGGATGTTAGAAAGACAGAAAGCAGAGGCAGCCAGCACATGCAGCAGTTTGCGCAACAGTTCACGCAGCAGGGTGCAAAGAAGGGGCCTCCATCAGATTCATATCAGCGTACGTCTCAGGTACAGTGGCAATGTGCTGCAGGGCAGTTTCCCCAGCAGATGGTGGAGCAGCTGCCCATGCCAGAGCAGAGTCTCTGGTATGGACAAAGCTTTGGGTAAGGGATGAGGCCTCCAGCTCCCTGGCTACACAGGTTCTGTGGATCAAAACCCATCTGCAGCCTCCTTGTTGCAGAGAATGGCAGCAGTTCCAGGAGGCTCCCAGTCCACCAGCTGCATGAAAGCATGACATGAAAGTGACATGAAAGCTGCAAGTTTTCCTTTCTTGTCTATGGGCTTTCAATGACTCTTAAGAGCATGGGCTGAATGGCATGCTGAAGCCAAGGTCCATGGTATTTATATTGAACTAAAATGTCCTCTACCTTGTAGTTTTTAGTCTGATCAAATTGAGTAGCAAGTCACAGTCTTCTGTTCATTGGAGTGAATTATAATTACAATTTACATGAACCCCACATGGTTTCAAGATCCCTGTGGTACTTCTGCTTACTGACCGGGCATCAGAGAAAGCAAAAGTTTTTTTAGACTGAACTCCTTGTTGTAAAGGTAGTTCTGGACAGTATCTGCAGATCAAGATTGGGTGGCTTGGGAAGATAGCACTGCTGTATTTGTGCTAAGGACAGAAAATAGCAATACACAAAGCTGTCAATTTAGCACCTTTTGAAATGCTTTTAACATTCCCTTTAAAACTAAGGGAGGAGAAAAGGCAAAGTGAGGTATTAATAAAAACAGTGTTAAACAGCACTTACTTGTTGAAAGATAAAATATATAATCAGTCTTTCAAGAATGAGCACTTAATTTGCCTAAAGATTATTACAGAACTTACTGTACCTGATTTGCATAAAATCTTTTTTTCCAACTAACTGTTGTAGCACACACATAAAATGGGGAAGCACAGTCCTCCATCAAAGCTCAACTTCTCAAGCCAACACTACAGATGTGCTGCCTATTTGTAATGTGATTTAGCAGTCCCAAATATCATTAGACACATATATACCATAGGGATGTGCATTTTAATACCATCTTTTTAAAGAGTGAGTAAGGAGCAAAGTTTCTCTTAGGAAGCGGTGGCAATTGTTAAAGAAATTAATCCACTGCAGCTCTTAGGGTGGCTTTTTTGCAGTGTGTGCTAATTCAGCTTCACTCGGAGGTTGCTCCTTTGAAGTCAGTCTCTGGAGAGTTTCCTCGATCAAATTCTCCATATGATAACCTTTCTGCAAATCCATCTAGGCTCTTTATGTTGATCTGGTTTCTCTCTGTTTTAATGCATTGTTAGCAGCAGCTGAAATTTGGCAAGCCATATTTCTTCCCCAGTTGTGGGTTGTGGGACCTTGAGAAGCACTGCCAAGTGCTTTGACAAACAAGGTGAGAAATGTGCTGTCCTTTAGCCTGCCAGTAAGTAGAAGAGATCAGTCCCAGCGATACCAGTCAGGCATCTTTGATCAGCACAGCATGATCTTCAACAAACAGGTCAAGGAAGCATCAGTGGTATTTGCTCTCTAAGCTTCAGATTCCCTTTGGCCCAAGTTTATTCAGAAATCAGGTAGCAAAAACGTGAGTATGAAATTTCTGGCCTCTTGCAGCTTTCCTAGCCCTGATGGATCCCACTCACATGTTTGACCCCTGCTCACCTTAACTAGGCTTCAGTCCAGGTGCCAGTCTGATTCAAATTTGGTATTTATAGCTCCAGAGTTTTAATTGGCACTGTTTGACAGAAGGTATCCCTGCATACAGAATTTCATGTTTTTTAAATTACAGGGCTTGGAGGGGCTGAAATGTAGGGAAGGCAAATTTTATCTTGGTTGTAGTTTGGGTAGAGCACTGAAACAGCTTTTTAGAGTGGCAGTTTCACTACAACATTTTAAACCAAAGTTCATACTCTGGATATGTAAAATTGCAGTGTTTGCAGGTACATTACATAGGACATTTACTATAACAGACTAAGATTAAAGATCTAAGATCTCTGATTTTCTCCCTGCACTTTTAATTGCACTGCACTTTTAACAAGATTTGGTACACAAACTGTTTAGTGATACAGTTCATTATCCTCTTCCCCCCCTTTACCTTTAGAAAAGAGTAGAAGTGAGAATTTAGGGAAATAATGACCTATTTTATTATATAACTACAGGAACTGGAAGGAGGGAAAGGAGAAAAGCACCTAGATTACCGTCTTGATTGCTGAAATTATTTTAACTACTTTTTAATTGGCAAGCTGTTGAGTTGTTATCAATGAAGAGTGCATCAACAACCAGTATCTAAAGCAGTAAAAATTTCAATTGAGAAACAGAGCTCACAAGTTCTGTAACCATTATCCATATAGTGCAGAGTTAAGACTAAGTGACTGGATCACAAGAATATGTCATGCAAGGAATATCAAGGGTAAGGATTGGAGTTAATAGTCTTTGTTGCCTTCTGTCTTCTTCTCTGAAGAGGTTATGGAGGCAGGGCAGAAGATATTTGCACAGCCTCCAGCTACCCTGTTTTGGGGGCTGTGCAGAGTAAGGTACTGATCTCTGTATGAAATCCTTTTCCATACAGATGCAAGTCATACGTGTGAATCTCCAGGGCTTGCTTTGCTGTCAGGCCCTGTTAATGGACTCTGAAAGTCCTGCACAGTTTACAGACCTCTCATCTAATAGTGGGCACCTCTATCACAGACCACATGTAAAACATCTTTGCATTCCCTTGATGCTGATTTATACTGTTTAAAGGAATGGGGGTGGAACAAGTTGTTAAAAGATGAAGAAATTGAAAGCTCCCCTAACTGCTGTATTATCCACCTGACATTTGCCAAATGCTAGTCATTAATTACTAATGCCTTGAAAATCAGAGCAGTTATCCAATTCAAATTATGTTACATCTCTGAGACAGGGCATTTCCATTATCTTATCATTTCCCATTCAAGCAGTTCTTCCTTCTCTACAATTGTTAAAGGCTGAGACCCCACTCTTTCCTCGCATTTGAACCTGATAATCCACACAAGAATATTTCTACTCCATGCCTGTTCTGTCTTTGTGTTGATGAAAATCAGTGTGATTTACGGCATTAATTATTGCAAACTTACAAATCCAGCCCTCCAGCTCCCCCCAGAACTACATGTGCGCATCTGATGGCAAAACATGGCCAGCATAATCCATAACCTTATTTTCCATTTGGTGATCAAGTGCTTGGGGAAGGATTGAACCTGGTTTAGTGCTTAGGCTGCCCTTGTGGTAGTACACCTGCAGACATCCCTGTGGACTGGGCAGGAGAGTTCAGTCACAGGCACACCAAGCCCCAGAACGAAACTCTTAACTGAAGTAATTCCCTTTGGACATCAGCAGTAATTTGGCCCTGTGGTTGCAAGGCAGCATATGTTTCTTCAGTCACCAATAATGTTGGTCCTAGATGAGCTGTGTATTCAGAAATGATGGGGTTTATTTCCTGGCACATTTGTTCTTTGCTTATATACATTTTCATGCCTGCCAGCACTCTGAAATCTAGACATGGAGTGTTGGGGGCAGGCTAGATGCAATTTTTCATGCTGCTGACATTAATTGGATGAACAGACCTTCTCAGAAGGGGCAGTATACGAAATGTGTATGGGAAAATGACAAAATAAGGAGTTTCACAGCTAAATAAAGTGGCTGAAAATGTTTTTTACAGCTTTGGCTTTCCTATGTTTCATTTGGGAATCTAAAACCATTTTGCACAACAACTAACAAATTAAGATTCACAACACCTTTCTGTGGAAGATAATTGCTCCTGTCTTACAGATGGAGGAACAGAGGTATTGAGGCTATCATTTGAAAATACATCCCGTTTTCAAGTCCCCAGACAGAGATACGTTTAAACCTCATTCTCAGAAACATTATATACCTCCATTTATATTCATTCAGTTGGTATTGTTTGTGCTTAGAGTCTCTGAAAATCAGATGCAATGCCTTCTAACTTGAATGGTCAAAATAACTGAGGTGATGTGGCAAGGATCTGCAAACTGCAAGGCTGACTGGCACCCCCATGTCTCCTCATGCCATATCCCCTTTTTACTCACTGTCTACCTTGGATTCCTGGACAAAAGAAAAAGCACATTCTGCTCACTGATTTCGGCTGCTCTTTTGAACAATTGGGCATGATAGGGACGATATTGTTTGGGTTATTGATCGACTTTATGGAGGCATTTTACCTTGTTTTTCTAACCATCAAGAAATTGACTTCAGGTTTTTGTGATTAAGTTTCTTACTGTAGAACTAGCATGGAAATGCAGTGAGAATCACTTGTATCACCTGCTTTTCCCCTGTTGTTTTGTCTTTTTCAGCATACAACAGTTTTGCCCTTTGTATTAATCGAGATGAGAACAACACATCATCAGTATCCCAGCAGGAGCTGTGGACTGGCGGCAGTGTGCACCTTTGCTGTTGGCTATATTTTATGGTAAGGGCTGTACACGCTGTGTTTTCATATTGTATTGGGGATTTTATACTGCTAAATTTGGGCACATATTTCATTATGGATATAATCGCTAACAGATTCACGCTGCATGCCTGGTTTGGTCCAAGACCTGGGCTTTGTCTGGTTTCCCCAAATGCTTATATTTTTAGAAAGTATATGCCAAACCTCACACAACAGGAATTTGTTGAACAATCCCATGTAAGCAGTAGTCTTTCCAAGGGTACATTTTTCAACCTTTTTTTCAAGCTAAATGTTTTTCTTGGACCTTAGTTTTATTGCTTAGGATTTTTGTTCTATCAAATAAAATTGAGAATAGTCAAATGATTTCCTGCATCAGTATTTAAGTGGCAACAGAAAAGGTAGAACACCGTCTTTTTTCCTTACTAGCTCATAAATTCTTTCTGTAAAATTAATTACAGAATAAGCCAGTAATCCAAACACTCTGAAGTTTGTTTTAAAAAAATGCAAATGTTTGTGAAAAATTAAACTAAAACAGAAATAACTTTTCGTACACAACATTAAATTAAGTCTTTGGCCAGTTTCTATTTAAGCACCTGATTTGCATGACAGAGTTAATTTACTGTGGTCATACTAGCATTGTATTTTTCACTAAACTTCTGTTTTATTTACAATACTCCTTTAATACCATCTATCTTTTACCCTTCCTGCAAACATTTTATGACCCTCTCTTCTCTTCCCTCAGCTAAGAGGATATTTTCCAAAATCGAGGATAATACTTGCTTTTCTGCCTCTCAAGTGAGGTAAAACTAGAGAGAGGAACACAGGCTCAAGGCAGTACTGTCATACTGTTTCAGTGGTCGCACGAAAGAGAGGCCATTCTTCACACGCATCCATACATACTGAGTGATCATAAAATGCTAGTAACACAGCTGCAGTAGGGTGCTGTCTCCCAGGACAACAGTCATACTCTGCCATTTGCTTTTATAAACATACACATGCTTCTTAAATAATAGAAATATTTGTAATTGTAGGATAAGGACAACCTCATGCAAAAAGGCACTTTGTGATTCCTTTAGGAGAAAGTTGTTACGTTTTTTTAACCCATACATAAAAATGCCTGAGATATTTCCTAGCCTTCCTCTGAAGGGTGCTTAGAGACGGGTTGGCAGAGTTACTATACCTGTGATCTGACCTCCTGTGGCAGATCCTGTTTTCTCAGAATTATGTGAGTAAACACATGCAGTAGTACTCAGTAGGAATAGAAGGTGGAAATGATCCAGTTCTGGAAGTGAAATAAAACAGAAGTGTCTTAAAATCTTTCAAGAATCTGTTACAGTATCAGTGTGACATTCATGTGGCTTGATCCAGTATCAGTGTGACATTCATGTGGCTTGATCCTGCCTACTACAGTGCATCTACATCCCAACATCCCACAGCTGCAAGTACAAGGTAAAAGGAAATTGTAGGACAAGTAAAGCAGGGGAACAGATTCTGCGTTAAGAAATCAACTACTAAGCAAATAGCCAGCCTATGATCATCTCCCTTTGCTTTTGCTGTTTATTGGTTTTGGCTACACATGCCTGATTTCCAAAATGGATAAGGCTACACTCAAGTGACTCGCCTTCCAAGTTGTGACTTCTCTGAAACTGGTCAGAGACAACTGCTTACTCAGCCTAAAGGTCATCTTGCTAAATTGTTCGCTTGCAGCTCATTTCTCCTTCTACTCTTATGAAAGAAAATGTTTAGGGAAGACTGGAGGCAGACACAAGCTATGCTGCGCCATCATCTGTAAGATGTGCATGTCTTCAGCCAGCAGGTGTTATTGAAGCCTCTATCCAAGATTTGTTTGAGGCTGCAAGCCAAATCTTGGCTCGATGGTATCAATACAATATATCTCATATTCACAGATTAGGAAAATCTACCAGAAAGTATGAAAAGTGAGAGATCTTTCATCCCCTACTTTTCACAGCTCAGGTCCACTATCCTACTGCTAAGTGACAACATGAAGGTAGAGGCCTTTTACTTAGTTCAGATTTGCTGCCCTTGTTGGTGTAGCGTTTAGACCCTCCATGCACATTGCATTAAAATGAGACTACACCTGCAAATGACCTAGTTACATACAGGCTGACAGAACTTCCTCCCTTTGTACTTTTGGTTGTCCATGGGTCCCCTGCTGGGGCTTAGTCCTTGGGTTATGTTTTTTTTTACCTAGAAGTTACAGATCTGCCACTTGAGATTTGTTCTTCTCCCTACGTCATTTTTTCCCTCAGCATAAGTGCTTTCACTGCAACTCTCTAAGTATAAACTCTAAGCAGCTGCTCATCAGATATTTTCTATTTTGCCCTTGAATTTCGAACTCTCTCCCCACCCTCAGCTGAAACCTTGTTACCATGCTACATGATTTATGTATCATGCCACACTTTGTACTGTGAAGGAGCACACAGGAAGATATTGTTAAGTTTGCTTCTTTTAATGCATTTTTTTCAGTTCCAAGCAGAGGGGACTTTCTATCTTATTTCATATGTGACTGAACCTTTCATGTATGAAAGAGATGGTGGAATAGCAAGCTTGTATTATATATATTAGATAAATGAGGAAAGAGTCAAACAGTTCTGAATAGAATCACTGAAGTTGGAAGAATGTAGCTAAATAACTTTGTATCCCCTGAGTATTTTTCAGAGGCATGTTATCTGAGAAGCATCCTCATCTGAGCAAAACCTTCTATCAAGAGAGCGTTAGAGTAGGCACGCTTAGCTCGTGCACTCCCTGGAGGGGGGAGCTCTCCCTTGCGTTTAAGGAACTGTGCCCAGGAAGAGCATTCCCAAACTTGCATTGCCTGTTGCACACCATACATGGACTTTCAGGATCCAGGCCATGGGATAAGACAGGAATGGCCAATTGGCTTTATTTAGCGTGGCTTGAAAAGGTCACAATTTGCACTGAATTTTTAAATCTAGGCAGTGCTAAGAAAACCCAAAAGCTTGCCAGTACTACCAGAAAATACTGCCAATGGGTGTATGGGGTTCGTTGTCAAGGAACAGAAAAGAACCAGAAATGTGTTGCTCCTTGTAATAAGAATGACCTCATGGTAACTAATATCAGAGCCTAATATGTCCCTAAAATAAACTGAGACAAATACGTTTATTTAAAATGGTTTTCTTGTTCCCTCTGCTTTTGAGTGCTTGAGCATGCCAAAAAACCAGACCCAAAGAACCTGACTCCACTGCGCTAATCATGTTTTTCTCCCAAACACGTAGCTGGGCTACGTGTTTGGGAGCAAAAGACTTGATCTGCTCTCTTGTTGCTATCTCAAATCCACAAGGAGCTGCCTTCACATGTGCCAAGCTTGGACTTGATTCATTCATTCCTTCAATAAATCTATTTAAAGAGCTTAGGTACCTTTAAACTTTCATTTGAAAATAAGTTTCTCCTGAAATGACTTTAGGAGAGTTCTGTAGATTTGCTGAAGGAGAGCGTGTAGATGGGGTAATTTGCTGAATTCTTCTTTGCACAAGTTTAAGAAAGGAATGTACACTGAGAATTTGGAATTAACTTGAGATAGATGCTGTCAGCCTTGCTGTAGATTTCCACTTGTGATTCTCCATAGAAGGAGAGGAAGATCAGAAAGAGCAAACACTGGCAAAGGGATAAGGGTGCAGACTGCTAGGACAAACCTCGACACTCAGAAGAGAGAGGTGAAGAGTTACAGTGTGAAACTTGGTGGGAATTGACAGGCTTATCAATAAAGAGGGGCAGGACTGAGAAACCAGAAGGATTTCTGAGGTTGCTGGTGCCAATGGAGCAGGAGAGACACATCAAGGCTGTGCCTAAGTGTGCTGAGGGTCTGTATGTACGTGGGGAGGAAGTCATGAATGCTTTTGGAAGCAAGCATTGGGAACAGAAGTTCAATAGAGATCACAGGGATCGGTGGTTGGGGAAAAACAAGTGAGAAGTCCTTGGGGCAGGCAAAAGAGTTTAAATAGGACCATGCATTAAAAGAGAAATGGGTAAGGAAATGTGCAGCTTAAAAGCTGACATCATGTAAGTGGGAAAAGATGGGAGGAAAGAGACAGACAGGCTGATGGGAGATGTGAGTGACAGATGAGACAATGCAGAGGAGGAGGAAGGAGCTGGAGCCAGAGCTACTGAGAACAGGAAAGAGTAGGAAGAAGTAGAAGCAGCAGAAATAGGCCGGGAGAAGATTAGCATCCCCTGTACCTGACCCAGAAGGAAGATGTGAGCGCAGAAGTGCTTTCAGCAAGAGAAGGCTGCATGGATCCTCAGCCTGTTAGGTCAGACATAGGCATTATGGACTGATATATTCTGGCTCCCCTCCACCTCCACATCCACAAATGTTTCAGTCAAAGCAACAGTACAATCACAGATGACATGCATGGATAATATATTCTCACTTACTTGTGCAGCTCCTTAAAATATAGCTCAAGAAGGCATAGCAACCATTACTATATTTAAAATGAAATACTGTTTATCAGAATAGATGAATTTCAAAGATGACAACACCTTGTAGCAAATCTTCTGAGTTTCTATCATTCTAGCTACCTGGATATAAACACAAATTTCTGCTAAGCTTTGTTCATCCCAGAGTATGGCAGCACCATATCATGCTGAGTATGTTTTGCATGTGACATTGTTTGCAGCTGCAGTTTTCCAGGAGTCATCTTCTGACTGCATAAGCCACTCCACACTAGGAGCGCTGTTCTACAACCTATGTATTGTTCAGGACCACACAGATAGTGAAGTATCCAGCATAAGAAACTGGAACAAGAGGCGATAATTGCTGTTATTTCCTGACTGATGACTATTTATTGAACTAATCTTTTAGTCTTTAAAATTTCTAAATGATGCACATTCCTGGTTTAGGTGATTTAGGCCTGGTTGGCTGGTATCATAAAAAGCCCAGCATCTTAATGAGGCTGAGATATTAATAATTCTGATTGGCTGCAGAACAAGCTGTCCCCTGGGGTTTCCTGGGGGAGGGAAGGAAAAAAAAAACCAGAAGGATTTATGAAAATGTGCCTCACATCAGTCAGTGTAAGAAACCAAAAGTAGAATGGATTTAGTATGGGTCATTGTGCTCCTGCCTCTGAAGGCACAGGATTGATCCCTACTCTGTGAACACAGATGATTTGTTCATTGAAGTTTTGAATGACTCAGCTACTGTAAGCCAGTCACCTCCTCTGGAAGACATTCCACAATTGGATAGTTCTGGGTAAAGTTCTCACTTTCTGCAGAAAAGGAAGAGATGCTAGGAAAGATCTTGTAAATGCATAGAAAATGCCCATGTTCTGTTGTTTGGTAGACACAATGTGAAATGGCTTAGGATTTGTTTGGGACTGAAGGGTCAGCCTTCCTTACCACTAGTTACTGGAAACAGCACAGAAAATGCAGGAAAAGATTTGCTGCTGCAAGAAGTAACCAGAAAGGAACTGTCATCGAGGTCATATCCATAGAGTAGTCATATCCAGGCTCTAACTAATGGCTAATGTCAGATTCTTCAGGAGAAGATTTAGCAGGCCATTTTGGAATAACCAGCCTGCAAGGGAAATTTTCTTAAAAAACCTATGTCAAAAAGTAGATGTTTGGATCCTTCAGTCTTGATTGTTTATATACCATGCACTCTTTGCACTTAAGCATGACTGAACACATTCTTGTACACGTGCTTGTACAGTCTCCTGACTTCAGAAGCTTGCTAGAGTTGCATTATATGGCAGAGAGTAGTGGACTAAGTAGACTTTCAAACTTGTATACTTGAAAACTTTTTTGAATATCCTGATTTCAGAGATGTATTGCTGAAAGATAGGGTACAGCATTCCAGAGGTTGATTAGGTATCATTCAGAAAGGTATTTCCATTATCAGATACGATTTTTTTGTTTGAGTTCTGTTGAAGTGCTCTTCTGTTATAAGGACGAGCACTGGGAGCTCTTCACATTTTATGACATGTGCTGTTATTCTGTGTCCTGTCATTCACTGCTCTTGAAAAGTTACACAGCCCTCATTTTATAGTTTCTGTTTCCAGAACATATACTACTGATTGCTGTTTGGCTGTGGACTTTGTTGAAGGACTCAACTTGGGCAGGAAATGGGGGGAGACTCTGAGTTCAGACCGCAACTTCATACTGTGATGCCTGTGCAAGTATATTCAGTCTTGCAGCTGAGAGCAGCCATCATGAAGGAGCAGCCATTTTCTGCAACATCTCCTATTGAAAAATCTTTTGGGTGTCATGGTTATCCACCATTATACACACATGTTGAGCTTGCTTCTACGAGGACTAAGTTGTACACATGCTGTTGTAACAGCTTCATTACTCAAAGTGACAGGTAGAGCACACATAAACCACAAGGTTCCAATAACTCCAATACAGAAGATGTATAGCCAAAGAATAAATGTACTTGTATCTTCTCTGCATAGTTTTTGATAGGAGAGATACATTTGATAGGAGAGATACACAGCATCTACTGTATTCTAGAAGTGAAAAACAAAGTCAAACATTACAAAGCCAAATTTTTGACAGACTTGTTAAAAAGAAGCAATATTGTGTGTTTTCAAATAGCTTTTTCTGATTTCTACACCAACTGGTTGAAAACTTCTGAAATCACCACTTCTTTTCACACACATTTTGATCTGAATACAATGTGTGAATATTTTCATTCCTATTTTTTTTACGAGTTCTAACAAATGGCTAAATGAGCTCAATGACCTCTAACACATGAATCTTTGAAAACACATGGCTATATCATCTACGTGGGCTGCCGTGGTACCCAAACACAGGGAGGTTCGAATTAATTTTACCTTCTCAAAAGTAGACGATCCAGTTTTAGCTTAAAGTTTTCCTCCTCCGTTTATTTTTATCTAAGAGACCCATTTTTTATACCTGTTCAATAACAGGGTCTTAAATTGGATCTAGATTAGCACTCCTAAGTAAATCTTAATTCATGCTCTCTTGTGCTTATTTAATAATGAGGTTGGACAGGAATAATGACTACTAGAATTGCAGCTTTGAAGGCATTCATTAACATCAGTAATTGGCAATATTTTCTGGAAGCTTTATGCCTACGGTTGATCAGCCCTTTATTGTGCAGCATCAAGATGATAGCTTGTATTGAAGCAGGAACAAACCCACTAAGAAAGGCCATCAGGTGAGGTTTCCATGGCAGCAGTCATCCCTTTGCTGCTCCCATTTGTGGTAAAGACAATACAGGAATAGTCAGTGTGTCACTGCTCAGTGGAAAAGAAGGCTAATATTACTCCATCCCAATGTAGCGAGCTATGTGGTAAAGCCCATTTTAAGAAAGATCAGGGTGGCTGATCAGGTGGGTTTGTGACTGTTGTCTCCTGAGTGGCACTCAGTACCTCTTGTTCTCAAAGCATGAGTTCCTATGGTGTGGCAGCACTGGGGACAGGCATACAACAGATTCAGCGACCGCATGAGCAGTATCACCCAGCAATGAATGAGCTCCTGTGCTGGGTGGGCAACAGAGAGCAGAGTGCATAAGCTGAACTCAGAGACTCTGAACTAACCAGAGATGACTGACATTCAGAAGCTCCTCAGTGACTCATCGGGTGGATTTAGAAAATACTTCCTCTTTCCATCATAAATGCGTTCTAGTCAATGCAGCTCCTGCTTGGTTCATGAAGGTGACTATATAGGTGCAGTTTAGAAGGTTCCTTAAAAAAAGTCCCTCTGTAAAGGTGTTCTATAGTGCTGGACACTTCTCATCACACCAGAGAAAATAAGTGAAAAAGAAGACCTGGCTTTTCTTCAAGCTTTTTTCTTGGAGCTTGTTTTTCACAGAATGATCATGAAACGGAACTGAAAACATTAGGCAATAACAGGCTCTCCCTGCTAAGCCAGCCTGGGAGTAGAGGACATCCCGTTACCTTCTATCTAACTGTCCCACCTTTTTCTTTGATCAAGAGGAACTTGGTGTCCCATTACCATGGGTTATGCAGGAATCCTTTATTTTTTCAGATACTTTTATCTTGTCAGGTTAATTCTGGCATAGAAGAATGTGGAAAATAACTGTAAAGTACAGAGTTTATTTTCCATATGTGAACTCATTTGGAGAAAGGGTTTTAATCTGTAGTTAGATCATGCAGATTAATTTACTGACACATGTAGATTCCTACATGAAATGTCCAACTTTGGACACTGTTTGGCTGTAATAAAAGCTTTTCTAGGGGGGAGGGAAGCTATGACAACCATGTCCATTTCCAGAGCGATGGAGAATTGTTAAACAGGGATTCTGTTCTGTGTGACAGGTATTTATGATAACAGTTTGGGTGGAATTCTGTGTCTCTGCCCTCAGGAGCCTGTGACTGTTGATCTAAAGATCAAAAGTCTTCCTTAAACAAATAGAACTATTATCAAGTGAAGCAAATCTTACAGACATGGAAATCCCCATCAATAATAGTCTGTGCAGCTGCTGAGTCTTCTCTACCTGTGCTTCACTGTGAGCTTCTCTCTCAAACTGCCAGGTCGGAAAGGAAGAGATTTACATTCCTGAAGAGAGCCCAGCAGCTCATGGGCCCAGCCTGTCTCCACTAAGCACTTTTCTCGATTATCCTCTGTGATGTTTGCTCAGTTGTTTGGCAGCATTTGCCTTTCTTAGCTTCCACCTACTGGAATGTATGGACTCTCTCTGCTCCCTCTTACTTCACTACCACTCGCCACATATCAAACACAAAAAGGTCTCAGCACAAAAGCTATCCCTTCAGAGGATACAGGTGTCCACTGCAGAAACCACATACCTGGAGCACATCTTCAGGCTGCACAGTAAAGCTGACACTGTCTCTTTGGTTAGTGTACCAACAGTCTGCCCTGTAGCTGATTGCTAAAAATCTCTATGCCACCCGGAAACCACTATCATTGCTTTGCCTTTACTGTGTAGTGAGTTTGGAGCTGAGCAGAATTTCACTGATGAGGTGATTTCTTTTTTTGTTGTTTTTGGGGGTTTTTTTATGTTTATCATACCTAGAGAAAAAATCATTAGATCACAAATGATACCAGGTAACTGAAAGAAAAGGAGAAGCAACCTAAAACACAGGTGCTGGAGACGTTATTCTCTGAAAGAGAAGCTGAACCATGTTTCTGGCAAACCCCAAAACTCTCATGCACTTGCCAGGTGTAGCAAGGAGAAGACACAGAAACACAAATGTGTACAAAATGAAAGAAGGATGCTGCAGAAAGCAGAGTTGGGTTGTGTGGGAGAGCCTAGAGTGCACTGAATGCTGTTTGGATAAAGAACCTGCTTGGAACAGAGGTGCTGCAGTTTCCATGCTGCCCCAGGAAACAGGGGTGTGCGTTCCTCATAAATACAAACGCACCAAGGAAATACCTGCCCTCATCAGAATATGAAAGTTGACCATGTGCTCGTGCAAAATTTAAAACAAGGCAGTAAGAATGTGGGAAGTCAGTTACGGTTTCATAGTTCATGATGTCTGTTCCTGGTAGATGTCATCCTGGTGCTCCAGTTCAGTTCAGACTTGCAGTTCTTTCAGATAATTGCTTTTCAGGTTGCACTAGCCAAGCCTATAGCCCAAGCTAGTTCTGAAAAACAGGTCTGTAAGAGTCAGTACTTGTTATTTTCATTTTGTTTCAGGGTGTGCTGGATTCACCACGTCACAGGAGTGTGGGTGTACCCACTTCTTGATCACCTCAGTCCAGGTGTCAAAGTAGTATTTTTTGCAGCCGTTACTGTAATAATTAACATGTTCTACTTGGTGGGAGAGGTCTTGAACAACTACATCTGGGATACCCAAAAATGTGAGTATTGTATTAGAAATATTAACTTACGAAATACACCATCAAGGCTTGCGTATGCTCCCCTGGAAGTCAAGAAGGTTTTAAGCTGGCTAAAACAAAGGGGAGTGACAGAAGTTCCACTGAAATGTCTTGCTTGCTTGCTTGCTTGCTCTTAAAAGCAGATGGATGAATGGAATAGCTGCTGGGAAGCCTGGTGAGTTATGAATATATATTCTTTTATTTAACTTCCAATACTAATTAAAGAGCTGACGGCAATTATCTGAGAGGTTTGCAACCCACTTGGTTTGCAACCCACTTATTAGATGATGAACCCATTAGGTGCAGCTAGAATAAAGTATTGTTCTGTGGGAATGCTGTTAACAGTAAGCTTAAACTTTGAAATAAAAATACATCGGTTTAGTATTTTCAGGTATAAAGTGTTTTCTGCTTATAAATTTACTCAAGGAAAATGAATATGTTCATGTCAGTAGAATAAGAATGAATGATCACCTTTGTGCAGGGTAAACATAACTGTGCAGACTATATTATCTACCCTGCTTAGGCAACCCATTGCTGAGAAGAGGAAAAGGGAAAATAAGACAAACACAGGATTAGAAGGAGGTTCCTTTAATCTATGAAAGATGTTTTTCATTTATCAAATTGCCTTAAATAAGCAAACAACATTCATCATCGTCACAGTCGCAAATCACAACTGGAGTGAAATCCATGCTCTGTAGGAATTCTGTCACTGCATTGCTTGGCCTGTAACATATTGGGACCATATGAACAGCCTGTATCCCCTTTTGGAAAACTTAGTGTGCACTGATTAATACACCATAAATTCATATGGTAGTTTACTGTGCAGGTAACTTTTTTAACAAGTCCTCCAGTACCAGGTAGAACTTAATGTTAGATGGTGGTTGAGTGTTTACTTAAAGTATGTTAAGCAGTTTTACTTAAAGACTTGTGAACTATCTTTTTATTTTTTCTCTAGAACCAGCAACCATTGGCCACAGTATTCAAGCATGGTTCCAGTCCTTAGTTTGATGTCACATTCACATCCATTTAACATACTTCAGTTAATTCAGGAAAGAAGTTTCTAAAAAATGGCAGCCACAAGGAATAATAATTTCACTTGACATAAGTCCTGTATGAAGAATAATAATGTGGGAAGGAGTCACATGTTCTTACCAAGTCCACAAATAACAAATGTTGGGAGATCTCCATGCATAACGAAATCCCTGGTTCTTGTGGCACTCCGCCCTAGAGGAGCTATTGTCAATCAGGTCATTCTTCCAAACTCTTCCAGGATTCTCTGTGGCCACCTTATCTTCTCCATGATTGCCTTGATTTCGTTAAAGTATATTGATCCAAAGTCCTCCAAAGCTGAAGCACTTGCAAACCAGAAAATGCCAGGAGCCACCTGCTGCTTTGCTGTGCTTGAAACGCTTTGTGTAAACCTAACCTGAAGCATACAGCAGGCACGCCACAAGCAGCAGAGATGTAAAATAATGCCAGACTGTCACTATGTGAGACTTGGGAAAATATTATTTGAAAATCAGACATTTAAAAGGGGCTTTTGAGCAGTAAGCTTGCAAATCAAAGCAGCCTGCCATGAGATTTCTGGGGCAAGAGTGGGTTGTTTGGGGTTTGGAGTTTTTACTTTTCCTCAGGAGATGCATTAAATAAAACCTCACTACTGACAAGATGATTTGCAGTTAGTTTTCCCGAGTTAAACCACAAACATGGCAGGCAAGGAAAAATTTGCCCTTTGTACAAGCCAGTGTCTGTCTACAGTTTTGAAGGTATCTGCTTTCCTGCTTATCTATTTGATGCATCTGCAGTAGAGTGCTAGAAGAAAGGAAAGAGGCTCCTTTTAAAAGGCAAATAAAGTAGCTCATTTAAAACTACTGGAAAAGTACCTTCCAGCAGAAAGCAGAAGACTCGAGATTGGCTCTGGAGCAGCCTTGTAAACCCACTGTAATATTTTAGACCCAGCCTCTTGTTTTGGTTAAACCTTAAGCTGTGGCTCGCCCATTACACTGGTTTGCCAGCAGCACCCAGGACCATTGTACTTGGACTGCTGGCAGTGTCAGACCCGTTTGTTTCCATGTTTCTTCTTTCAGCAAGGCAGCTTTGCAGTTGTGGTTTCTAGCTGCAGATGGGTCTTACTGTTTCCCATATGGGAATTAATTAACTGGTTTTAAAGTGACTTTCAGTGTATCTGCCATCTATGAATATATTGCATTAGCAGGTGATCTTAGTTGTTGCTGGATTTTCCTCTCAGCATTCTCAAAAATTGCTGCTCTTCTGCCTTCGGTACCCATAACTCTTTCTTTTCTAGCATGTATCAGGCCTGAAAACCTCCAAAAGAAATGTTTGTATTTGAGATGTCTGGCAGAGAGGGCTTAGTGAGAAGAACAATGCTTCTGTCAGATACCAGTAGTAATTTATTGTCCAGGAACAGGCATATGAAATAGCTGAATCTTTCTGTTGCCAGAAAAAACACCATCTGCTGCCCAGCCCAGACTTCACTCAGCATAGGAAAGAGGCAAGTCCTGCAGCAAAGATAAGTTCATTAAGGAGCCGTACACTCAGCTTAGCCCTCCTAATTCTACATGGCTATTGCAAGAAGAGAGGAACCCTATCAACAGTAATTGATTCTTTATTCCTGTACTCTCCAAAAACGGAGATGTACTTGCAAATATTTAAATATCCAGTGTTGAAATGGAGGGGTCTTAAAGCTGCTGAATTTTGAAACACAGTTTTAAAAACTTGCTTTCAAAGAAAGTCAGCTGCTCAGCTTCAGGTAATAAAATGTTACCTAGTTTGCTTGTAAGCAGGGAAGGTGAGGGAACTAACTATTCCCAGCCCCTGCAACTGTCAAAGGCTGAGCCTGCATCAGGGGGTTAGGGTGATTTGAAAATGGTCTGGCAGGAGGGAGGATTGAGCAGTTCATGACTGGACAACCACTGCCATCAGGTGTGCAGATGCTCTTTTCGTTCACAGCAGGTGTGGTAACACATGCGAGCAAGTAGGCGAGAAACAAGTGCAATAAAGGCAAAAGAAAGATTAATGCATTAGAAGAACCTCTGTAAGTAAACTCTTCTTTTTTATTAATTGAGAGTTTTTAAAAGCTGTTCTCCATATGTTTTCAGGTATTGAAGAAGGAAAAGAAAAGCCAAAATTGGACTGAAAAACAGAGGCAACATGGAGCATTGTTTACGGCTTCACAGAAGATTTCTCATCACCAACAGAGGTTGGCATGGAGAGGAATCTTTTGGAAAGGAGGAAGTTTAACAGGCAGTCTGCTCAGTACAAGGATATTTGGGGGTTTTATATGGAGGGAAAATGATTTTAGCTAAGAATAATAATGTTTCAACATCATTCCTATGTCTCCATTCTTGCATGTAACATGCACATATAAGATGTATATTTATCTCCATGGCACTCATGTGAATTCCTTGCATCAAATAAGTCATTAAATCATAAAATCATTAAATTTTTTCACTTCGAGCAAGAAGAACAATGAATCCATCTGTATTTCTTGAGAAAAGCTTAACCAGATAGTTCTAATGTGGGGAAACAAAACAATATATATTTCAAAATACAGTGTAAAAATACGGTAGAAGTTAATTGCATGAATGTATCCAAAGAAGAATTCAATCTGATGGAAATATTAATGTAACACTATGTAACAGCTGCCTTAAATCAGTGATGTTAATTTTTTGAGACCATTGAAATCTTATTTGCAGTGTTAGACTATCTGAATATGATGCAGCTTTTCTTAAATAGGCCTAAATAAAGATCAGATTATCCCAGCATTTCTGTTTCTTCATGCTGATTCTTGAAATTATGGGTGGATTGGTGTCATTTGAATGATGTATTTTCAGATTTTCCAGTGTTGACTGTAGATGATAGTATTTCGACATGAGGGGTTTTTTTTCTTATTTTCCCAGTACAAGACCTTTCAAGCCATAAGTTCTCAGTAGATGGGCTGAGCCATTAGTGTTGTACCAGAGACAGCATTTAAGCCTTGCTTCAGGAAGGCGTGTAAGCAAATGTTTAAACACATGTCTGTTTGAAGAATTCAGGTGCAAAACAATAGCCATAGTTTAACAGTTGACAGAATTCTGTTTAATTATCCAACAATCAAGAAGGAACTCTAGTAGGCAGAAAGATCATCTAGAGTTAAAATCAAGTGAATGGAATAATTTTCATCCAGACATTATTTTTTAAAAAGTAACTTTAAGATCCAAATGTCTTGGTATTCTCATCACATTCATTCAGTAGTGTATCTAGGTGTATTTATTTTAACACACGCAGAGCACTTCAAAGGTGGTTAATGTTAGTGTGTGATTTTTATTAAAGGGATTTCTGCAGAGTTTTAATGGCTTTACCAGATTCTGCTGGTTTGCTCCAATGGCATGTTTCTGTTCCAGAACAGTTCTTGGGGAAACTGGCCTTACACAACTCATGACATGCCTCCACAGTAATTTGTTAAATGTATTTATGTATACGCTATCATAGGATACAATACACAAGTTCATCAACGTGCTTTTTGGTTGATTTCTTTAAAAAATAAGTCCTCTGTGATGATACTGTCTTTGTGACTGTGTGTCCTCTCTATAATTTTTAACCTGTTGATCAAAGAGTTGCAAACATTTCAAAGCTAGGCAAGTTGCTACAGTGTTCATGGAAATAACATTAAGCCAGAAAAGAAGAAGGAGGTCCTCTGATGGTACCACAGAGGGAGAGGACACACAAGCATAGCAGAATTTGGAAGCAAATTAGCTGTAGCCATGGGGCTTTGTGTTAGGGATATTACCTTCTGCTGGACCTGAGCTGTGCCTCACATATGCACAGTAATACTGCAACATGGTTGCTTTAGCCACAGGTAACTAGGGCTTCATTGTGATAGGTGGTTGATATTGGAGGTGGTAACATATCTTTTATTTGCAACAGGCTTTCAAAACTTGGTAAGGAAAGAAAATGTGGAATCAGTTATGTTTAGTGATCTAGGAACTGCTTAAAGTCACTGCTTCTGAAAGGTGTGATAGCACATGAAAGTACTGCTGGACAATGAATGCGTAAAAGAATCTGGCTGTACTTCCCAACATCAGCAGCAGCAATGACAGACATCCCATTGTGGCAGATTATCAACTGCAGCTCAGGGTGAGAAACCCAAAGCACAAACCTTGTTGACTTGTTTGTCATATGAAGAGCTTGCATAACTCGTGCTCTGCTGTTAAGTCTAGGACATTTTTGCAATTATTTTTATTTCACAGGGATTGTTTCCTTCACTGAATTCAGGAATTCATTCTGATGGAAAGAATGTGTTAAATAAAAGTAAGAAATGCCAGAATGCCGCACAGCTGTACACATTCTGCTAGAGCACACTCTGAACATCTCTGCTGTATTTATTGCACCACTGGATGTCTGAGGCCTCAAAAACTGGCTATTGATGGAAAGATTCTTCTTTCTCAGCAAGTTTTGCACCTGCTCAAGATAAGTTTTTCTTTTAGTACAATGTAATTTTAGGTGATTTTGGAAATGTAGTAAGAATATAAAGAGAACAGGAGCATGAGTGATCAAAATTGCATAGCTGAATCCATAGGTAGGTGTCCAAGTGAAAGAAGACTCCCTTTCAGAGGTACACCATAGGGGCCCTTAAAATTGTAATCCCTGATATCTGTGAACCTGTGAATATTAAGCACCTACCAAGCTTAGATCTCCATTAAGCCCTTGAGGTTGGCAGTGTTAGCCAGAGCAATATATGTGACACAAAATGTGGTGGGTTTCATTGGTCTGAGGAAATTTATAGTAGTCCAAGATGATTTGAGCTCAATTTGTCTTCTCATATCTCAGAAAGCTCTCCGCCTCCTATGAGCTTTGAATCATCATGTTTGAAGTAAAAAAACATTTTAGAGCATTAAATTCAGGCTATGATGTATGAACCATGATATAAATAACTTGGGGGCCTGTTACCCAGAGTGCGCTCTTCTAGACTGTGTTCATTCCCTTTAGAATTACACAGTCCATCAGTCTTAAGAAAGATGATGGATGAATGATGACTAAAGTAAAAGTCACTTGTAAGCTTGCCAAATTTCAACCACCGTGGCTGAAATTGTCCCTGAAAGGTATTTCTCTTGGGGGAACTATTTTTTTGGTGGAAAACTTTTTGACAGAACAAGTCATCTATTTTCAAGTGCAAGTCTGGAGAAAAAAGTCATGTCTGGAAGACTTTACTTTCTCTTGCTGCAGAGATGGGTCTTTGAAAGAAGGATAGCATTGATGGAAGATATGAATTTATGGGGAAAATCTCTTGGGTTTTGCCCAAATTTCAGGAAAAATATGCCTGCACTTCCCTGAGTGCACAGGTAATTCTCAAAATTGTTTATCAACTTTGGGAATAATCCATCTTGTGGCCCATCCACTTCTCCAGTCCTGACTACCCAAGACGCACACCAGAATAGGGATCCTGTCTTTGGTTTCCATGTTTTATCAATACCCCCACAAAGCTGCTGCTGATAAAGCTGCCTAAACCAAAGATGAAGGAAGCAAAGCTTTAATGAAACTGAGCAATGAAAATTGGTTGTAGGTGGATAAACTAAATGCAAAAACTCTAGCCTTTCCCTTGAGGACTGCAGTGAAATGGAATTAGTAATGTTTGTTTGAGTTTCTTGTAGCTGTAATGATAAACTACGTAGAAAACTCTGTGAAGGAACCATTAGTTTGGTTGTCAGAGAAGAATATAGGATGCAGTAAATAAGGCAGGCTGCCACACCTTGAACCACAAGGAAAAAACAAAATACAGTTTCATCATTCAGTGAGCAGCATCCATCATGAGTTATGAGTGAGGCATAGGAAAAAATGTGTGATCATCTAATTAAAGGCAATATCATAATTCATGCTTACAAGGGGCCAAATTAAGGTTGAACAGACAGCCTTAATTCTGACATTACCTCAGTCTTGAATGCCTGGCTTTGTAATCTTGACTTACTATAGAACACAAAAAAGTTTGGGCTTTTTTTTAAGGCTAGTTAGAAAGTCTAGCCACAGAGTTGCCATAAATTTCAGTACAACTGTACCCCCTGTTTGGCTGTAAAAGGCTCATCCTGACTTTATGCATTTAGCTACCCTAGAACATATATGCACAGTTCCCATAATACTGTGTTATAAAAATGTTGCCATAATTTGCAAAATTTTACCACAATTTCAAAACAAAATTAATTTAGTCTATGATTCAGTTTGTGTGTGATAAAACCATAGTTTGCTGTCTCTCTGTAGCAACAGTTGCCTTATTTTAAAGGAAAAATTACAGATATTTTCCCCAATTTTAAGATGATTCTTTGCTTCTCTGCCCACATGAGTAATATTAGCTAAATTACCACCAGTGCATGTCAAAGCTGCTTGGACACTCTGAGTAGACTGAAAAATGGGTAACCATTCTGCAGGTTCTCATGTGGCAGTTTGTAATGACAGTATATAAGGCATACATTTCTTAGTTCATTTTTCCTGTTGAATTTGCTATTCAAAGTGTATTCCAAATCCTAACCACAATTTGTTCTTCAGTTTTTCTGTAAAGATTAGTCAGTCTGCTCTGAAACACCCTTTGGTAGCCTTTGAAGACTCAGATACCATTGGACTGAACACTGACAGGATTTATAATCTAAAATTTGAGTTAAAGTACAGTTCTGAAGAGACCATCAACCTGAGGTTAGCATCACTGAGGTAGGTCTGGTGTTCCTGCCCTGGGAATAATGGAGCAAGCAGTAGATGTGTAGGTGAGGTCACCTCTGAATGCATCCTTGGAGAAGTTATGTTACTAATCCTGTCTTTCAGTGCTCCTGTGTTTCATGTGAACAGGGGCAAATGCTGGTGACAGGCATTTTCCATCTGCAGCAGAAAAAAAAGCTCCTAATTGAACCATAGTGCATAGTAGTCAAAGAGGTCATTTCTGCTAGCGTATCCTAGCAGCTCTGCTCTGCTCATGTAGTTCAAAGCTCCATGTGCTGCTGTAGCCAGCTGCTTAAGCTGGGGACACAGGTGTTGCAGGGAAGGAAAGAAAACTGGGTGTTTTCTTATATATTTGGGCCATCCTATTTAGCCTGGAAAGTAAAGAGATTATCTGTTTAAGAACACTGCTTGTGCATATGCAGAGCTCCAAGCACAGGCATACATGCTTTTGAGGACAGGGGCTTTGCTGAATGAGGGACAAGTGGACTTGCAAGTGGGATGCTTTCTGTGGTGCTTCTGATGACAAAATGAAAGAGCTTTTTGTGCTTCGGGTGAAAATAGGTCTTTTGAGTATAGTGGCTTCCTTGTACTTGTATTACTAAGTCTAAGAAAAACAGAACTGTCCAATTTACAGACCATAAACATCAAATATATTTAATGTATTTCCTCCAAAATAAGCAATTTTATTTTTATCAAAAATGCACTCTGTTTTGTTCAAGTAGCAGATGGAAATCAATGGATTTTAATGTAACCCAGAAGAGCAAGTTGTAGTCTTAATCCCTTAAGTGCCCTTTTCTTGTTCAGACCGCAGCTGTAAAGGGATTTGAACCTCAGAACAATAAATGCCAGTAGGGAAATTTGAAAGGCAGGCCACAGACTTCGTGGCCCACCAGAGAGGTATCTGCTGCTCCTCAGAGCTCTGTAAAACAAGACAGAAGTAAAATAGCATTTTTCATGTAATTTGTATTATAGCTACTCATGGTGTCCAAGTTCAGCATTTTATATATAGCTTGTGTATTAAAAAGTAAACATCTACCATTAGGCTGGAGAAGTATCTCCACAGTGTGCATTCTAAATATAGAGA